GGGGGGGGGGGGGGGGGGGGGGTACCAATCATGACAAATAATATCCAGTGGTCTTGACATATGAAAAATATTAGAAGACTTCAGGGACTTCATCTAGATGGCAATATATTGGCATTCACCTATGGCAATATCACACAATATACCGAGAATGCAGCCATGCCGGGATGGATTTTTACTGGGGTGTGTGGACCCCCTAGCCCTTGCCAGAGGGGGTGCAGGGGGTGCTATTTTTTATGATAAAGCAAAAAAGACAACATAAGATTTGAGTAATAACAAAACAGTAATTTGAGTAATAACATGATAAGTGAACTGTGAACAACTACAATTCAAATACAGTAGTTTGTTGATGGGCGGGCGGCACACATGACCGACACAACTCTGCAGTCGGCCCCAAAGCACCCCCCTACCAGATCATGCTGGATCCATCCCTGCACCCATGCAGGTTCTGCCTTCTCACCAGTACAATTGATCAAGTCGTACACATTCATTACTGCCAGTCTATTTATTATTTATGTCTCATTACAATTGGTATGTACAATATATTTTCATTATCTTGTGCATCACCAGTATCATCACAACTTGTATTTCACTAGCATCATCATCATTATTCTCACCATTCTAATTTTATTTATAGTCAATCACAATGAATCAAAAATTTCCTATCACACCACTCATATTACTTATAATTGCCCAAGGTTAAGGCCATTTCACAGCACTCCAGGATCTGAATACCTGCAACCACCTTTTTGATCTTATTCTAAAACAGAGACAAACAACAAATGTCTTACTGGAATATCATTGCAATAAAATGACTGTCATTTGAAACCACATTCTGCTGTATTAGTAACAGCACAACTGCTCAAGGTCGCAACTAAGGTAAATAATAGGGATGTAGTAAGTTAATACTGATTGCTGGTAATTGTCTTTTTACATTTTGTTCACAACCGAAGTCTAATTATATGGAGCAAGTATAGAATATCCAGCCGCTTTTTATTATTCACTTAACCTTATCCTTGACCACTGATCTAATAGTGCCCTTGACAAGTAAAATTGTCTGGTGTTGGACAGAGAAAAATAACAAAGTATGCCATATTTGGTTATCCCATTGGTGTGCAAGACTCTCCTTTGGATGGGCAAAATACTAAAATTGGGGGCTATGGAGATTTTATGCAAGAGGTGGGGGAACATTTTCTCCAGTAGAATGTATGTTGGCCATTGGAATTTTTTAAAATTAAACATCAAAATTATAAACCAGAGTATTGAGGCGATAAAGAAAAGAATACGTACATACTGTAAAATTAAGGTAATCTAATTTTCTTGTCACATACAGAAAGTTAGGTACCGGGTAAGGTTGGCTGGCATTTCCACACTTTTTTATTATCATCGTACTATTCTGTTAAGTTTTTATTGGATGAGTCAGAGACCAATGGTTGGAATGAGGGCAGTTAATTTGTAATTCTTGCATGTATTCATTTATTAACTTTTGACTACTGTAATAGTCAGCCAGTTAAATAAGTATTTTACTGAGGGTACAGCTTGACGATTTTACATGTCAAAGAGAACTCCAGTTATGAAAGACTGAATATTT